TGACAGAATTTTCATTTTTGGGTGAACTATCCCTTTAAGGTTTGGATTCTGAGGGTTGTTAGGGTGTTCTAGTGTTTGCTTAGTAGTTGCATTCAGTCCCTGGTTTGTCTCCGTAAATCTGAGGCCAGCGGCGCATGTCTGTATCTGCCTGGCCACAACTGCTTGCTCACGCATGAGTGCTTGCGCCCTTAACGACTCTCCCAGGGCCAGCCATTTCAATTACTCACTGATTTCCCTCCCAGCCAGGTGAGCATAACATGTTGTCTCGACAGCTGTTCCGTGAAACGCCTCGGGCATCTGAACGTTCTAGTATCTCAGCTGCTGGAGTGTGGCGCAAACGGCACAAAGGTCATGGGTTTGTTCCCCAGGAAACACTGATATAATCTGAGCACCGAATGCACTGTACGTCCCTAGAAGCATAGAGCAAAATGAATGCCTACAGCCTGTTTTTACATCTACACTACAGTAGTAGTGTACTAAACCCAGACAAACACCTAGGAAATGAAAAAGTGTGCTTAATTGTATTGTAGGTGCACTTAGTGTATTTTAGGTCTTAAAAGTTTATAACGTGCTTATATAAAAAAAAAAAACGGTACTTGCAGATGATAATATAATAAAAAGCCACTTAAGTGTAGGCCTGCTTAAAGTGAGTTCACTTTTATTGCTGTTTCCTAACATACTTAAGTACACTTTTAATAAGTGCACTTTGTTAAAATCCTTATGCTTTAATCATCTTTTGTGGTGCTTTAAAGTGGTGCTCTTATTTTAATGTGTAGTAAAGCATGTGTAAAGTACTTGATTGTAATTTTAACCGCAATGAGGTTTTTTATTTTACATTTAATGTTAATATATTTTAAATGTACTAAAATGCAACTTCACCAGTAGAAATTACATTAACATATATTTTAGTTTATCATAAATGCTTGTCAGTACATTCAGCAGTTACACTTTAACCATATTTCGGTAGATTGATGAAATTACATTTAAAGACGTACTTAGGTCCTACTTAAGCATTGTTAAGTTTAACTAATTGAATTTAATATAAATTTGAACTGTAATAATTTAAAATGCCGTTAAGTGTCTGAAAACATTACATTTAGCTCATATTTCCTTAATACTCTTTTTAAAAGTATACTTAAGTGGACTTGTTTTTCACAAGGGTGGGCTTGAATGAAAACAGACTGTCCTCTGCTGAAGTTGACAGAAGTTGTCTTAAGTTGAACTGGTTCTGGGAAGCCTCTGTCTCAGGTGTACGTGGAGCTGGAAAACAGTGTGTGTTCTTGTGAGGGGAGGGAGAGCGTGTACGGGTGAAGGATCACGGCACGCTTCTCTCTCAGTCATCTCCATTGACAGCGGTTGCTATGCACAGGACGAGACTGAGAGATGGTCATGTGGTTCGGCTGGTACACATGAATGAACATGCCCATTATGACCCTGCTGTTACAGATACTCTCAGCCAATCATGCAGATCCTTAAGCAGAGTGTACAACCGTATATAGCTGCACATAAACATCAATCTAATGAACATTCAACATTTGAGTTCCTTTTTCCCTCACATAAAAATATATATATATATATATATATATATACATATGTATGTATGCATGTATGTATTTATGTATTTATTTATTTATTGCTTTTTTATGTTTGACTAATAGGGTAAGGTGGTATAGCCTACTAAACTTATTGCAGTATTCCATTGTATTGCATAGATGGGTATAACATTTGAGTAATGATCACAGCAATAAATTACAAATTTACAATATATTCAAATATAAAACAGCTATTTTAAATAGTAGTGATATGTCACAATATTACGTTTTTTTTTCTTCTGTTTATCAAATAAATTAAGCCTGAGCAGAAGAGAATTCAAACAATCTTATAAACAATCTTAATTATTCCAAACTTTTGAACAGCAATGCAGTTCCCCTTGTATTTTAAGAAGTTGTTTTTGCACAGACTTTATTACAATTCAGTGTGAAGCGGGCGTTCTTCTGTGTAACATTGTTCATAAGCCTGCAAGTGGCGC